GAGTTGCCGTCGGGGAAGTGGCTCAAATAGCCTCGGCTATCACTTCCTTTTGACGGCCGTGATGGTCAAGCGGATTAAGGCGCCCTGTAGTTACCAGTTGCGTTGCTTCTGGGAGTATGGGTTCGAGTCACTTCTGGGGTGTGAGTTTTCATTCGCATATAGTCCTGGGGACCATTCAGGCTTGTTCGCATTTGTGTTCCTCACGTGTGCCCCAAAGAATGAGGTGATTTGGTGAAATGCTATGCCCAAGATTACCATCCGAGTTGCCGTCGGGGAAGTGGCTCAAATAGCCTCGGCTATCACTTCCTTTTGACGGCCGTGATGGTCAAGCGGATTAAGGCGCCCTGTAGTTACCAGTTGCGTTGCTTCTGGGAGTATGGGTTCGAGTCACTTCTGGGGTGTGAGTTTTCATTCATATATATATATATATATATATATGTAATACGATGTCAAAATAAGGGTCGTGAATTTGCCTGAGCTGCTTACAGCGTAATGCAGAAACACAGAGGTAGCAGCAAACCTTTAAATGCCAGAAAAATATTGAAATTCAGTGATGGTGGTGTAGGAATGTGGGCGAGGTGCTTGACTCAGTCATAACTCCAGGGACGACCCAGGGCCCCCAGTGTCGCTCCGCACACCACCACGAAACAACACCACAAATTAGGCGAGGATAATTGAATATCAGTTGGAACATTGGTGGAGGTTAATTGTGAGAGTGTTTGAAGTACAAGCAAAGGGAAAAAAGGATTATTTCTTTGTATTTAGATAATTACAAAATGAAAGCTCATGGGTGTTATAATAAATAGCACCTTCAACACCCATGCAGGGGTTCTATGGGTGCAGGGGTGCTTTGGGTGCAAGGGGGCTATGGGTGCAGGGTTGCTATGGGTATTTAGCCATATTGCATATCACATGTCCTTACTTCTGTGGATATAAAATAGATACGTGAGCGTCAAAAAATGCGCTGTTTAATATTCAATTCTTGTAGATATAATGGATATAACACAATAGTTTAGATCAGAAATTCTAGCACGAATCTTCTCTAGACTGTCTCACGTTTCTCTCTTCAGAAGGAAGTTGAAAATTATCTCCTTATCTTGCCTTCCTTACTAGATTTCGTCATAGTTTCCATAGATTTCATTTTATAGTTTTACATGCATTGATCCTAAGAGATACGTTTCGTTGAATCTGTCAAATAGTTCTAACTCTAGAACTCAAATAGTCTGAGGTAGAACTATTTCGTTGACAGAGCCCGAGTGCATGAGGGGAATTGTGTGAAACCCCAGTTAGGCTTCAGTGGAAGCCTCTGGTCCCTCGTGGGTACAGTAGTACTCCAGGTGGCAATTCCTATACCATGTCGTGGTACAGTTGGAGCGCGTCTGGGAACATCCAGCGCATAGGTTCGAATCCTCATTACGGCCTTTGTGAATTTGTTCAATAATAATAATGACAAAATCAATTGAAACAATGCAGAGTTTCGAACCCTTGACTTGGGCACCCCCAAGCCGCGCACCTTACCTCCGGTCCACGACATGGAATAATTTATACAACCAGGGATTCAACTGAATCTACAGGCCTTCTGGAGCCCCTTACTAAAGCAACTTATACCATGTGGTAATTCAGAAGTAAAGAGCGGTGCTTGGGAATACGCAGGTCAAGGGTTCGAATCCCACACATTGCTCCAGTTGATTTTCCCCATTGATATATCACGTTAGTATGATTTCTTTGCGTTTCAATAATAATAATAATAATATGTTAATTCAGAATCGAGTCAAATGGTACTGCCTGTTTTACCTAAAATGGGCACTTTCCAAGCATCATTTACTAGGAAAAAATTGTTTTTCCCCAAGCGCCAGGCTTCGAACAGGCAGATAGGCACAGAGAGAGAGAGAGAGAGAGAGAGAGAGAGAGAGAGAGAGAGAGAGAGAGAGAGAGAGAGAGAGAGAGACAGAGAGAGAGAAAGAAAGAGAGTATGAGAGAGTGTGAGACAGAATGAGAGAGTGTTTGTGTGTGTGAGAAAGAGGGAGAGAGAGAAAAAGAGAGAGAGAGCGAGAAAAAGAGAGAGCAGCAGAATAGAGCATGAAGGGAGTAAGCATAAGACGTGCTCTCCTCGCTGATGCTGCTTCCCCAGCCTCCCATTACGGAAATTTGGTCGGCCACCGAGGACGCTTTAGTGCCCAAGCTGATCATTTACTCCACTATAATGTTGATTTTTACTCCTTCTCTCGCAACGCAAGTCTGGCATAACCAAGAGAAATAATTCTGGTAATTCGGTGTAATAACCACATAAATGCTGTTTTGATAGCGATATATTTTATATTATAATCATTATATATTAGTAATATGTGAAAAGCTGTGCAAATGTTGCTGTTGTTAATATTAAAGAGTGAAATTCCTCGCCCAGTGTGTTGTGTGTTGCATCAATGTGCAGAGCGAAGATGTCAAAATCATTGGCGTTCGTTGGCCAGATTTCACGTGGTTCTAAATGTTCCTTGACGAG